TTCTTTCTTCTTTCTTTCTTTCTTTCTTTCTTTCTTTCTTTCTTTCTTTTTTGAATGCCTTCAGGGCAGGTTTGGCTGGCTTGAGTTGTGGGGATCGAACCACAGCAACCTGAGCCTGACTGCTTTGTTGAAGCAGCCACTTAAAAAACTGAGCTAAGGGGCAGGCCCCCAAAGGATTTAGTTTCTTGACTTTAATGTGTGATATTTATGAAGTAACGTATTAGAAACACATTTAAAAATCATTTGTAGGAAAATGTATTTTACATAATTTAAGAAATATATACACATCATTCTAATGAAAAACTATATTTTTATTTTAGCTGTGATCTCATTAGCTCTGAAATGTTAAATAGTAAAAAGCCTACTCAATATGCCCTTTAGGAATTTTTCAAAAAAAAAAAAAAATTCTACAGTTTAAGTTTCAGACAGTGTGAACAGAGAATTTGAAATCAAGACATACCAAAGGGAGTACTAAAAAGGTGTTTCTTATATTTATTGCCTAAAAAAATAGTTCCTTGTGAAAAATTCCAAAAAATCCTTACAGTGGTCAAGAAAATATGTGAAAACATATTATTACTTCACACACTGGTACAGATTTTTAATACTGTTGGATCATACAGAGTTTGTACTCCTACCAAGAATTTTCTGCATGTCTTGATATATAACTGTGTTACTATACATACTGAGGTCAGGATTTCACAATGTTGAGGAATGAAACAAAGGAGGAGGTTAGGCGGGGTCTTGAGTGCATGCTTGTTAAGGTTCTTTGTCCAGGGTCTTATAATAGCAAAATCACAACTTGAGTAAGTAGGGGGCCACATTATTATAAGTATAGCTGCTTAGCCAACATTGGTCCAATAGTGAAGTAGACATGTAGTGAAGGTATATGGTAAGCATCATTAACTTTAATTTAATCCTCTGAAAGGAAAGAAATGGTATAGGTGTTTTTATCAGTCTAATTTCTTAGGACCAGCGGGATAGCTCAGTGGAATAAACTCCTGCTTTGGAAAGTACAGGGACCAAGGTTTGCTCCCCAGTCCCTCATGTGGTGCCGACCCCATCCCAGGGGCACACCGAGCTGGTGAGTCCAGGCGTGGTGGCGCACACCTGTAATCCCAGTGCTGTGGTGGCTGAAAGCAAGAGGATCACTACAAGTCCGAGCTATATAGTAAGACCCTGTACCAAATACAAAAATAGAAAATCTCATTTCTTAGAAGATAAATATGTATTTGTCTTATAAACACAAATATATGTAACAGACTAATGCTATTTTCAAAGGGAAAGCTACAATTATGCTTGTCATATTAAACATTGAATAAATACATTTTTGTCATCATCATGATGAGTTAAGTTGACTGTAGTATATTTCTTGGAAAAAATTCAACAATGAAAGCTTGTGGGACTCTACATGCACCTGTACATCCAATATATAGGAGACACTGCATTTATTCACTTACATGCTATTGCTGCCTCACTTTGGTCACTGGGCAGAGTTGGTGGTCTCCACACGGTACTGCCAAAGCAACTAAACAAAACATAAAATCACACAGATGCCTACTTTCTGCTTTGACAAGTTTTCTTTTTTTCTTTTTTTTTAAAGCTGAAGCAACCTTTCTTTTTAATTGCCCTTTAAAGTATCGTCTGGTTTGTTTGTTGTTGTTGTTATTTTTATTTATTTTTTGGCGGAACTGGGGATTGAACTTGGGTCTTTGCGCTTGCCAGAGAAGCCCTTATTCCACTGAGCCATCTCCCCTGCCCCTATGTTTTTAAAATTTTTTAAAAATTTTTGTTGTTGTTGTTGTTTTTTGTTGTGGCCAGCTAAGCCCACCCTGGGGGCAGGGCTGGCATGGCATGTGGTGCCAGGGATCGAACTGTGATCCCTGACTGCTTGCCTAAGCTTACCTAAGCAGGTGCTTTAGACCATGAGCTATCTCATCGGTCCTGATTTGTTTTTTGTGTCAACTAAAATAGAATGTTCAAGTTGAGATCTTGGAATAGGATCAACAACAGATCTAAACTGCTGATCCCAACGAGGGGGTTGGCAGGGTGGCTCACAGTGGAATCATGAAGCAAACCTCCTTCTCGTAGATATCTGGGATCACTCCCATTGGGGAAGGGACCATGTGCACGGTATTCTTGCCAAACAATTGGAACTCATAGTGGATGAGCTGCTCCCAAAAGCCATTGTTGGGTCGGATGATGGGCCGGCAAGACTTGGTCCACGTGTGGGCATCCAGCAGGGACATGGCATGGTACTTCATGAGGTAGGCAAGACACAAGGCAGCAGAGCGGCTCACTCCAGCAGCACAGTGCAGCAGTGTGCGGCCCTCTTTCATCTCCACTGAATGGATGCGGTCAGCAATGGGGTCAAAGAAGTCATAAAGACATGAGATGGGTGCATCAGTCACAGGCACATGCATGTACTGGATGTTCTCATAGAAGGTGTTCACTACTTCCATGGAGACATTGATGACTGTGGTGATCTGGTTGCTGGACAGTAGGAGCTTATTGTTGGCAGCTGCCCCGCTGCTGATATATAGGCTTTTGGTGATCTGGGAGAGGCCACTGACTGAGGGCTGCCGGAACTGGGCTGGGAAGGCACGCATGAGTGACGTCATCAAGGCAGTGGGTCAGCAGTTGGTGCTACCTGAGACCTATGTCTCTTTTCTAGGCTGTGTCCATGGAAAGCTTTCTCCCGCAGGAGGACAGAGCGGCTTGTGTTGAAGAAGCAGCTGCAAAGGCCCAGGCAAAGGTCGCCAGGGAAGAGTTCAGTCGGTACCCCCGCGCCATAATCCCCACCCAGTCAGCGCTCTGTTTTCCATAGCAGTGTTTTCTCCTCCGGGAAGAAAACAGGCTGTACTGGATCTTCGGAGAAATCGAAGCTTGTAAAGCCCCAGCGCAGCAACGCTGGGTTCACGAGGTAACTCACCCCACCATCGCGCCAGGTACCACTACTGACTCTCACAAGTTTTCTTTAGAAAGACATTCTTCTACTTGGAAAAATCAAAAAAAATTAGAAACATAGAAAATTCAGTTGTGGCTAAATATTATCTCTGCTGTTGAGAAAGAAACAAAGACATTTAAGTGAATATACGCTGAAGATTGCGCAGGTAGAAAGAGCCTTTCACCGGGGCATTTTTCTTAGCTGCCTGCTGAGAAAGAAATGATTGTTAACTCAGCTCAGAATCAGGAATGAAGCCACTCAGGGCCTGAGAGAAGCCCATCTTTCCCTTCACAACAGAGATCACTAAATTGCCGTATTTGCAAGCATTCTGGAGAGCTGGTCTGTCCTGCCGGCAGGACTATTTATGTGGGGCTGGTCTCACTTCAGTGGCAAAGCTGAGTCCATTCCTTTGTGTGATTAAATCAGTGATCTGCATGAAATGCATGACAGGCGAAGCAAATTTAACCATAAAACTCTGCAACTGCTACACAGTAGCAAATGATTTATTAATCATCAATTGCTCAATGAGAAAGAAATGTAAGATAGCAGTTGCCAGTGGGAATTTTTTGTATCACTCAGAAGTAGCCTGTTTGAGAAAAAACAAAAACAAAAAACATCCTTATGAGAGACAGAGAAAGGCAGATTGGGAGAAGAGGAAACAGAATAAAGTCTACATGCACACACAAACACACACATGTACACACACACACACTTCTTATTTTAGGAGACTACTATGAACCTATGAGGGAAGATTACTTATAAAAAAATTGCTAAAACAATAGAAGGAATGAAGTTATTTTTAATGAGCAGAATATAGCAAATGCAAAGTCACTGTTAATGGGATAGATGTGGATGCTTGGTGAGAGAAAGTGAATAAAATATTTGTGGATTTGGGGATCATAAAAATGATACGTGAAGGGACACTTAGGTGATATTGCATTTAATGTAGAATTGGAGGAAAAAGATCAGATGTTAATCTCACAAGGCAGATTTTCTAAACACAGGCAAAAAGATAAACATTTAAAATGGGATTCAGCAAAGTACTAAATAGAAAGGGGACAATTAGTAGGAGTGAAAAAGTCATCAAATGGCACGGGGAAGAGTCCATGAGGAATTAAACAAGACCTGGGTGCCTCTGCTGGCAGAGTCGGATTGTGTGTGATGAGCTATTGAATCAGCAGGAGAACAGCTCACGGTTGAATGAAATCTGACAATTGGACACGGCTGAAGACCACTCAGTGGATGATTAGCATTAGGAAATGTAAGAAACAAAGTCTATACTTGTAGCAGGGAAAGTAACACTGCAGATAGAACTCACAGAGCGAATGCTTTAGAGGGTGGAGAAAATTAGCTAATCAATGCACAATTTTCAAGGGTGAGACTATCCTCCTTTAACACAAGAAGGAATTGTAATTGGATATCAATATGCTTTTCAAAATACATTGTACTGAATGTAGCATCGCCAATAGTACTGGAATAAGATGCTATAATGACAACTGCACATAATATGTTCTAGCTGTGCTACCTTTAGAAACTAGTATTCACCCGTGAAGCTATATCTACCTCACACGGCAATTGGTTATCTGGAGATATTTGTTGTGCACTGGAATTGTGATGCAGTAGTGAATCAAAAATATATGACACTTTGTTGACAATATTACAATTATTTAAAAGTTTACTTTAGAAATATGTGGCGTGTGGTCAATAATGTAACTTGAGCCCTTAATCCTCAGCTGTTTGCACTGTACTCAGTTACAGACTAGTTATGGAGCATGAAGTATGCACATGTTCACAAGTTGTAGATTAGCAAAAACGTAGTAATAGATTAAACAGAATTCAATTTTGCTGTTTAAAAGAGCACAAATATGTATGAATGAAACTTACCAGGTGTCAGTTGAAACGCACATTACCATGAATTTCATCATGGACTGACTTGGTAACGTATTATTCATTGTAAGACAATGATTACAAAAAAAGTTTTTGGTTTGGGTTTTGATATATCTCAGGCTCAGCATCGTTTAAAAGTTGAAAATCGACGTATCTAAGCCATACTGCTCAAGGTGGTGAAGCTGCAACATGACACCTCATAACAAATAAAGGTCTCCTATCTTATTTTTTAAAAGGAGCTAAGACATTAGAATAGAGAAACAAAATTGGAAAAACAATTTAAACTCTTCATTCATTTTCCATAGGCAGAAAGCAGAAAAGGGCAATTAAGGTACACATGATAACATAAATAAGTCATAACCAAACATTATGTTGTACATTCCGTCGCCTCTGCTCTTAATATCTGAATAAGGTGTCAAGAAAAATGCTAATTTATCAGAATGAAACATGAATGCAGGGGGAATAATCAATATTTATGAACATTTGCAATATTGGCTTAAGTCTTCCTATTACAGCATTCGTTGTGCTTAAGTAAAGCGTTCTGATAAACATGTTTCTCCGCACCAGCAATCAAGAAACCTTGTCTCCTAATCTCAGTTTTTTTACCAAGCACAAGAAGTGAGTAATTAGCAATGACTTTGGGTAGTGATCTTCTTTCTATGTGGTTCATATAACTAGAGTCAAAATATCTAGCAATCATGAAACCTCAGCAGGAGCCTGTTATCTTTAGATAAAAAATGAAATGTTTCAGTTAAATGACAGATGACGTTTAAAAAAATCAACACTTCTACATCAGCCACGTGTGACAGAAAAGACTGTGCCTCACTCCACGCTGCTCACAAAGATGTTCTAGGCACACCTCAATACCTCCACGTGGCTGGTACTGCAGAAGGTCCAGAGAAGGGTCTGGCCTCTTCCTCTTATTCTGATTCCAGAGTATCAGTATCAGGAAAGCTGGAGGAACCTGAAGTTCTATCACTCAGCAGGAATGAAGAGCCCTCACCCTGCTTAATAAGGTTGTGCAGGAGTGAATAAAACTCAAGTGGCTGTTGATAAGAGTCAAAAGGTACAATATGAACTCCATGGAAATTAGCATAAAAATGTTTAAAAGAAATACAATTGGTAAATGAAGAGCAAGCACAAAACCAGTCTATGAAATGCTCCAACAGATACAAACATATCTGAAAAGAAGCCTGAGTAAACAGCAAAAAATACAAAACAGTTAATTTTTAACACAAATATACCAAGAGATGTTTTAAAAGTGAATGACTTAGCTACATAATTGGAAAATATAATTAGAATGAATAATGAAAAACAGATTGAAATGTAAAAAGATGAAATATCAGCTTTCTCTATAAAAATGACATGACATATGACATAGAGTACTATTAATAAAAAAGAATAAATATCTGTAACAATATTTTTGGTTTACACCCTATACTGAGTAACTACTTTGAAGGTATTATATTGACTGTAATAGCTAGTGATATTCTCAGTATTTGATTATAAAATTTTGTTTCATTTTTCAAAAATTTAAAAAGCAAAGAATGTATCCAGTATCATTCCTACGCTATGGTATTCTAGAAGAGTAAAAGTTACAAAGACAAGGAAAAGATTAATGGCTGTCAGATGTCTGGGAAGAAGGGGAGGCAAATTTGTCAAGTACAGGGGAATTCTGTGCAATGAAATTCTTTCCTATATTACTCTAGAGGATTATTAGGCACTATGCATTTTTCAAAACTGAATGAAGTTACAGTGCAAAGGGAAACATTAACATATACAAACTTTTAAAAATAATCTGAGAGCTTGGAGGAAAGCAGGATGTAATATACAGTATGACAAAATAAGCTGAATGTGTCACAAAAGAATGAGTCCACTTTGATACAGAGGCAGCGACAGTAAGATGATGACCTAAGACATTTTTAACATGAACAGAATCTGAAAGACTCAGAGGAAGTATGACTGTGTATGACTATAAATACTGTATTACAGTTAATAAACTTTTCAGTGAGAGTACCCTTTAGCAAATCTGAAGCATTTACCAGTGCATTGCAATTAAATTCAGTGTTTGAGAAGGGTTTTGTTTCTGTTTTTGTTTTTTTGGCTGGCTCAGACTACCTTAAGGATGGGTCTGGTAAGGCAGGTGGAGCTGGGGATTGAACCATCCTGTGCATGACTACATTTGCATGAGCAGGTGCTTAAACAACTGAGCTAACTGGCAGGCCCCTCCAATTATCTTTGAATATTGAAATACTACAGTAAACCAAGAACAGGAGGTTAGATTGAAGAATGAAGCAAGTACTGAGGGAATAAAGTATACCATTATGGATTATATCTACATGTCCCCCCAAGCCCCATGCCCTCACAAGTGCAGCTATTCAGAGATGGTTTTATCTCAAGTTTGTGATGGTGGCCATAAGGGACTGCTGCAAGGGTTAAGGATGCCCTGCTGTCGGTGTGCTTAAGGCAAGTTAGGACTATATAAAGGGCAGAAAGAGTGTTGCTACTGTTGCTCGCTGCTACTTCTCTTGCTTCTGCTTGTCTTCTTCTGCCTCCTATCTGTTCTGTGAGGCCCATCTGTGAAGCTACCCTGCCTTGGAGCCAGCTGACTCTGAGCTGTAACTTCTACAAACTGAACTAAATAAGCCTTTTCTCCTCTAAATTTGGTGTAGTATATCTTGTCTCATCAATGAGAAAAAATAACCAAGACAAATGCATTCAAATAAACTCATGTTTAACTTAATAGATATAGTTTTTTGCATGTATAAGTGCTCATGGTTATTTATACATACATGAGGAAGTACACATATACACACACACGCACTCACTTGAGAAAGCCTAGGAATAATTATCCTTCAAGCAATGAGGTGAAATAGCACTCAGATCTTTGTTTTAAAGCCATATAAAAAAGCAACACTTCAGAACAATAAGTGATTTTGGAATGCAAGATTTGAATATCACATCAATCTCCCTATATGAAAAACATAAAGTATCAATGAAGAGAAAAATAAAAGAGATTAATAATAATTAGGGAGAAAGATCTTTG